ACCCTCCGCATCCGCATCATTGCTAGTTATTTGCTCTAGGATACAGGTTGGGTCAGTCACATCCCTGCTCCCCAATCTTCTCCGACACCACATCACCCCCCAAGGGTTAACAAAGCCAGTGCCTAGGTGTTAGTGCTCGCCATTCCTGCCCCCACGATGACCACATCTTCCACTGAGCCAGGACGGAGGCTCAGCATCTGGCTCTGCACCCTCAGGATGAAAAGCGTTTCCCTCTCTGAAGGGGAGAGGTGGAGCTCCTCGGCCTCGCCCTTTGCTGACTTTCCCCACCCTCATTTCAGATCATGGCTCCTGTGCTCCAGCTTCCTTCAAGGGCTTACCATTCCCAAACATTCTGCTTTTTTCTTGTTCTCAGAGCCTCTGTCCACGCGGGTGCCCCAGCCTGGAGTGACCTCTATGCTGCACCCCCCCACAGCAAGAGGCTTGTGCCCCACAGAAGAACCTCTGCTTGGCCTCCCCTGGGACCTGGGAACCATGGACTAAGCGCTGGCCAGTGGCATACGAGCAGAAGGGTTGCATGTCGGGATTTTCTTTTCCCAACATGCTAGTTTTGCTCTGAAGGGCATATAACCCCCCAGCCTCTTCGTCTTCCATGCGAGCAAGGGATGGTGCGAACAAGGCAATGGGCAGCGTCGTGCCACATGACGAGGATGGCAAGGCCACCTTCCCAGCCCGGCACCACTGTCCTCTGACCTGCTCAGGACGAGAGGTTTCCCCTCTGCCTTGTCGGAGTCTCTCACTGGGAGCTCTGGTGTTACGGTGGTGAATCTCTAGCCATCTGCCCTCCAGCCAACATCCAGCCCCCCCACCCCCCGCAGTGAGGTTCTCTCTGAGTCCCAAGCTCCTCCGGGGTCCCTGGCACTTTGTACACCTCTCACGAGCACGCTGTAAAACAGTGGATGGCCACGGGCTCTCCCACAAGCAGGCCTGAGGGCAACTTCTCTCCCGATCATCCATCCTCTCCGCGGGACCTGGCTGAGATGCTAACGCACACACCCCATAGCACCCCCTCAGCCCTGCTTCCGCAGTCCAAACCTCTTGGCCTAGTGCTCAACTAATGACTCTGGCCTACTCTCTCCCCTCGGAGATGAGGCCCTGAGTGTGAACCACCTACCCCAGCAGCTCAGCGCACCGGCTCCTCTCGTGTGAAAGCCCTCGCTGCCCGCCCTGCCCAGCCCCAGGGTGGCGGGCCTGAAGGAGCTGCTTCCTTGCTGGCTGGAGCCTTGTTTGTTACTGAGAATAGGGACTGGGATGGGAGTTTCCCTAATCTTTGTGTTCTTCTCAAGTGGCCCGGGAAGTCTCACGGTGTGTATCTCTGTGCCCAAGGCCCTCCTCCTGTCCCACCAAGGCTGTGTGCTTTGCAAAGGGCCCACGTTCACTCCTCCCAACTTCTGGTGGCTGCGACTGTCCTAGTGAGGCCCACCCTTCAGCATCCTGGCCCAGGCCTGCAAGTCCATCACAACCCTGGGAAACAGTGCCTGTGGCCCCAGAGCGGCCAGATCTAAGCTAGTGCATGGCTATTTTGGGACAGGGAGGATCCTGGGAGGATGCTGGCGAGGTCAGAGTAGGAAGGGAAGGAGGTGGGTTTTCTGCCCATGATTATGTATCTCGAGCCCTCTGGAGTCCATCCAGGGGCCCAAGGCTGCCCTAGGAAGAACACACCCGGGGCTCCACCTTAGCCAAGCCAGCCACAGAGGCGGACTGGGGGCAGGCATGGGCTCAAGATTCTAGGCTCGGATCCCAGTGGCCACGGTCGGCAGAAAGCGTGTGTGTTTATGTGTTGTGTCCCAACAGCGGTGGCTTCGGCATCAGGCAAGATGCAGGACAGTCTTGGGGTGGGGTGGGGGGGGGTATGTGGTGTGTGAAGGCGGGGGAGGTGTCAGAAACCAACCAGAGGGCAGCCGGAGGACCCGGGGAAGAATCCAGTCACTCGGCAATGTTAACTGATGGCAATTTATTAGAGATGCATTGAGCATCTACTATGTTATCAGATGCTGGCAAAACAAAAATGGTAATACTCTGACTTTGTGGGTAGCACTCTCCAGTTGTATAAGTCCTTCTGCAAATATCAGGAACCTCAAAGTGGTTCATAAAGTGGTTTATAAACTCTGACCTTAAGGAAATAATCTGAGGTGCATCATTTAGGCCCAAGCATGAGAGTGGCCTTCCACTCCTGAATTTGGAGATTTGCAACTATTTTAGAACGTCAAAAATCCACTCTGCCTGTTTGGAGCATTCTGGGGAAGGTCATCCATCAGTATGAAGTGCTCGGTACTGGTCCTGGCACACATCAGGGACTCGGTTAGGGGCTGTGGCCGTAAGTGCAGCCACATGGTGGGCTGTCCTCAGTGCGGAAGGTGGCCAGAACCCTCAGGTTGGCCCAAAGGGGCAGGTGCAGGGACCCTCCCAACAGGACCTAGCCCGTCCTAGCAGATGTGTTATACTCCGTGATTCCATCCATAGTCTGAGATGCCTCTATGTGGCCCTTCCAGTCCCTTCCTGCTGCCTCTCCAAAAAGCTGGGAGAGCATCTTAGACTTCTTCTGATTTTTGTCTCAATTTTAGGTTCTCTTATTAAACTCTCTTGGTGTTGGGAAACCTGAGTCGCTTAGTGGTCAAGTGTCCACTTTTGGCTCAGGGTGTGATCCTGGAGTCCTGGGATCAAGTCCCACATTGGGCTCCCTGCGGGGAGCCTGCTTCTTCCTCTGCCTGTGTTTCTCTCTGTGTGTGTCTCTCATGAATAAATAAATAAAATCTTTAAAAAATAAAAAATAAATTCTCCTGGTGCTACCCACCTGGCGCTGATCTATCATTTGAGCCAAACTGCCCTCTGGGTGATTCTTTAACACCTGGGACACTCCTCCCCGGAGCCCTTGCTCTCTCCTCCCATCTCCTGCCAGCTGCGTCCTGTCCCCGCTGGTGGCTCCTCCCCACAGAGGACCTGTGTTGTCTTTTCTCCTTCCCACTGCATCCCTCCTTCCCACCACTTCTGAGCTGCACACCATGGCTTCAGGGCTTCCTCCTCCCTGTCTCAGACCCCTGGGTTGCCCACAGACTTCTAGAAGTGAAGGGAGATGAAGCAGCTTTGGAACCATCCTCCTTCCCACCACATGCCTCCCCGGCCCCCAGCATCCCAGGACCGCCCGAGCCAGACTCTCCTCAGTGCAAACTTGACGCCTGTTGGTTAGACACCCACTTGGAAGAGGGACAGAACACGTGAAGCCCAATCAGGAAGGAGAGGGAGAGGGCAAGCCTCTGCCCTACCACAAATGCGTGTCCTGCACGCCAGGACGTGGTGTTGGATCGGGATTTTTGTACATCCTTAAGTACAAGAGGAAGTGAGGAAATAATGGTAATAGCGCTTCCTAGGAATCAGGAATGGTACTAAGTGCTTTCCAGGACTATCTCACTGCATCTCCACACTACACCTGCAAGGTGGCTATTATCTCCCCCTTTCCACACCAGGAAACTGAGGCAGACAGGTTACATCATTCCCTAATTATTCTACACCGCTGGTAAACATCAGAGCTGGACCTCAAGCCTCTATTTTCTACGGCTCCTAATGGCCTGCCCTTCAGCAACCTTCTAGACTTTGAGCAAAAGATAATGGCAGTTTGGCCGAGAGCTATGGGGCGGTCTTATCTGAGGCGTGGGCTGCCCTAGAAGCCCTGATCCTGCAGGTGCTCTGCCAAGGCCCCACCACCCTTCCCTCACCCTCATCCCATCTCATTAACCTTGGCATTCTTCTCCCAAAAACTTTCCCAGATGCCAGGGCTCAATCTCCTGGGCCCCAAGGGAGGGAGGAAGCTTCCCAGGACTCGGACACCCTTTTAATTAACCCGGGTGACCCTCTCCCAACGGGCCAGTGGAATCCCATCATGGCCCCACCGTTTCCCATGGCAGCACCCTGAACTGTCACTCCCACCCCAGCTCCCTCACTCTTCTGAGAATGTGGGCCCTCTGTTTCCCATATGCTTACCACCCATTGGCTTCCATTCCTGGCCTGCGGACCCTGGGTGAGAACCACCAGGGTCCTGTGGGTGTCCTGCCAGTGTCCCCTGCCCACAGAGGCTCTCAAGGGGCCTCCTTGGAGTTGGCAGTGGCCCTCTGTGATTACTCCGAAGTGCCCCCCTCCCCAAGGCCTTTCTGGGAGCTTCCTTCCTCACCCCCAAAGAAGGACAGCCCACCCATTCCAGTTACTCATGGGAACAAGGAGACTTGCCTCATAGGTTACCCATAATGGTCAGCAACCTACAAAAGTCCTCGCGAGCTATGACTTGACACCATTATTAACAGCGGACAGTGCCATTGAACCCAACACCCAGCAGGGAGCCCAGCACAGAGCAGGAGCTCTGGGTGAGAAGCAGAGGAAAGTACTCGAACAGGCATCCTCACTAGTGATCTGCTCCATGGCAAAGTGGAATCTCAGTCCAGATGACCCCCCACGTCCCCTTGCAGCTTTAGCTTGCGCGTGTGTGTATGCGTACAGCCCGGGGGCCGTGCAGCGAACGCACAGCACCCCGAGCCATCTAGCTAGGGCAGGAAGGTTTTACAAGGGTGGAGTAATCCATTTGTCCGTGTAACACTTTTAAACACCTACCATGTGTTGGGAGTTGGGGGGCACAACAATAAACTTGAGAAACCAGGTCCTGCCCTTACAGGTTTACATTTTCTTCAACCCTACATAATACTTAAAGATTTTCTGAACATGGCCATGCGCATCATCATATACCACTTCACAGCCTGGCGCACACACCCTCATAGAAGAATTGACAAATTAATGAATACTTGAATGAGTGAATGACAAGTGGGGGGGTGGGCATGCCAAGCCACTAGTAGAGGGAAGGTAAGCATCACAGATTTTGTCATTCCTGTCTTTCACATGAGAAGCGGCGCTCTGAGCAGGGGTGGCTACAGCACACCCACTAAGAGGGTCTCTGGTGTGTGTCCCCATCCTAGGCACCTACTCGCAGGGCTCCTTACCTGGCGGGCAGTGACATCCTGGAGACGTCTTCGGGAAGGCCTCCCGGCGCCTCCGAGAGTGGAGCTTCCATTTCTGCAAAAAGGAGACAGAGAAGAGGAGTCATGGAATCCTAAGGCCAAGCCCTGGGAAGGGTCTGCGGGTGGTGGGGATGGAGGGGGGGGGAGGGGGCTGCCTGGGGGCTGGCAGGGGGACTGTTTCTGGATCAAAGACTGGCCACAGGCGTCTGTGTAATAAGAAGCAGATGGAGAAGGTCCCATCTAGGGAATCTCAGTGTCTGATGTCTTCGGAGTGCTCTTAAAGAAATTAACCCCAACCCCAGGGCCCTATAAACCAGTTGTGGCCTTCCTGCACCCCACAATCATGGGCACAATGACCTGTTTTTCTCGGCTCTCTGCTAATTGTTTCCTGTCTAGGTCTGGGCTCCTGATTGATCCCAGCGTCAGGGACAGTGACTGTTCTCCTGATGTCCCTCACAGCCAGGCACAGGCAGGTCTGGGTAAGGGTAGGGATGCGGGCTGAGGGCCGGCCACCTGCCTCTCTATCGAACCTCTTCTTTGCAAATCACTGGACCCATCAGGAAGGCCCTAAGGAAGCATCAACAAGTAAACTGGAGCATCTCCTGCTTTCCAGGAGCTGCCATTATCCTGGTGGCGAACGGACAGACACACGGCTGTAAGCACCAGCACCTGGGCCCCCTGCCTTTCAAAGGGCAGTGCACTGAGCCACCCAGGGAGGGCCACGCTGGCACGGGGGCTCCAAGGGACACTTCTGGGGAGAGGCTGCCTGGGTTCATAGGCAGTTCTCAGACCCTGGGCAGATTAAAGTCCCTGCCTCACTGGGCTAACGGGGGGATTGGAAAGGTCGATGCACAGAAGGAAAAGTGCCTGACACCGGGGAGGCACACAACAGATGTTAGCTCTTGTGATACTCGTGTTACAGGTGAGGAACCCGAGGTGCAAGGCGGGGGCAGGGGTGCAGGGAGACTAACCTGGCCAGGGTCAGACGTAGGTACAACACCTCACTCTCAGGTGCTAGAGTCACAATTAGAACCTGGGAGCTATAGGGCCAAACTGGCCTTTCGATAGATTTTATTTGCCTCCTAGGGTGATTTTTTTTTTCCATTGAATTTCTTTCCAGCAGTTTGAAGTGAGTGATTTCACAGGTAAGGGAGGGGGAGCGGTCCCGCGGCTCACAGTTATTGACCTCAACCAGAATGCTGAAGTCCCTGGCGTGTGCAGCGGTTAGGAGGCCAGCTTCCCCACGTCCCCCCTCCCCATAAATATTTCTCCATCATTGTCCTCCTCTCTGGCAGAGCCTGAATTTATAGTGACACAGACCCTTGACATTTCCATGGCTTCTCGACAGCCATAAAGCTCTAGCACCAGGTAGGTGCTGGGGTGCACCATCCAGGCCTTGCCAACGGGCCTCGCTTTCATTCACCACCATGATCCCGAGGAGAGCCCAGCAGGCAGGCACCCAGTGTCTCCCTGGCCCCGTCAGCTCAGCTCGCTGCCCCTGCTTCTCCCACTTTCCACCCTCCCAACCCCACTGCTCCTCCCCCCACGTCCCTGTCAGCTGATGGCCCTGAGAAAAAAGCAAGCAGACAAGGTCTGCCAGGGGCTCCTGTACCAGGCAAAGAGGCCCTGTGACTGCACCTGCCCCTTCTCTCTGCTCCTCCCACGTGAGGCCAGTTGTTCACCTGCGCGCCAGGCCTTCCCCACAGGCCTGCAGCAGCAGTAGCCTCCTCTGGACTCCGTCCTCCTCTAGGCTCGCATCAGGCTCAGTATTCTCTGTAAAGGGCCAGCTAGTGAATATTTCAGGCCATGGGAGCCACAGGGCGACACAACCCCTCAGCTCTACCGTTGGGGTGAGAGGCAGCCGCAGAAAACATGAAAACCAGGGGCGCCTGGGTGGCTCAGTCGGTGAAGCGTCTGCCTTTGGCTCAGGTCATGATCTCGGGGTCCTGGGATCGAGCCCCATGTCAGGCTCCCTGCTCAGCGGGGAGCCTGCTTCTCCCTCTGCGTCTGCCTGCCCCCCCACCCCCCGCTCGTGCTCTCTTGCTCTCTCTTTCTCTCTCAAATAAATGAATAAAATCTTAAAAAAAAAAAAGAAAGAAAGACAAGAAAAAACACAAACTGAACAAGCACAGCTGCGTTCCCATAAAGACATATTTACACAAACAGGCTTCGGGGTGGGGGGTGTAGCGGCGGCTCACCCACTCCTGACAGACTCATGGGGCAAACACGCTGGTGATCCTCCCACCATGCAAGAGAAAGGAAAAGGAAAATCCTGTCTTGACCAGGCTCTCTCCCAGGCTGACTCCTCCCGTCTCTGCGGGAGCACTCCCGCCAGGCTCTTCCCAGCCCTCGGCCAAGTGCTACCCCCTAGGTCACGGGCAGCCTCGGTGTCACTAAGCCCAGGAGACAGTCCCTCTCATCTCCGCCTGGTCCCTCCTTCTCCCTGACCCACTCTCTTCTCTCGGCAGCCAGAAAGCCCCTGGCTCAGTTTCCCTCGCCTTCTCCCCCGGTTCCTTTTTATCCATGTGGAGGCCGCAGGGCCCAGCCTCACCACTCTCCTCCCTGCTCTGGCTCCCGGGGGCTCTCACCCTGCCTCATGTCTTCAGCACCATCTGTACAGGACGATGCCACCCTTCCTGCACCTCTAACCTGGATCTTCCTCCACAACCAGATGCACGGAGCCAGCTGCCTGCTTGACATCTCTGCTGATAGGATCTCAAAATGAGCTCGGCCAAACCAGGCCCCTCATGTTCTGTGCCCAGAACATGTTCTGTGCCTTATGTTCTGTGCCCAGTCCCTCGGGCCTGCCCCCTCTGCTGTCTTCCTCGCCACTCTTCCATCTTGCCAGACCCTCGAGACCCTCCGTGATGCCTCCTTCTCTCTCATTCCACGTCCATTTGGTCAGCAACTCCCGCTCTCTACTTTCTGGACACATCCAGAAAGTCTGACTCCTTCAGATCTGACTCCTTCCCACTACCCACCCCCCCATCACACCCAGTGCAAGCCTGGTCATCTCTGGCCCAGTCACGGCCACAACCTTCTGATGGGTCCCCCTGCCTTTGCCCCACAGAACATTCCCACTACGACCGCCAGGGGGCCCACACAGGCCTCCTAGATGCTCCTGCACATGCCAGGCTTCCTCCTACCTCAGGGCCTTTGAACGTGCTGGCCTGGCTGCCCAGGGTGTTCTTTTCCTGGCTAACCACCGACTTGCTCTCAGGGAGGCCTCCTCTTCCCTGGTGCCCTCCTGCAATATACTTACTATCCCTCCTCCCTGTTTTACTTTTTTCCCTCTGGATTTTGTTTTGTTGGCTCATTTATCGTGCTTACTATCCACCCCGATCTCTAGAAGGTAAGCTCCACAAGGAGATGGATATTTTGGTCTGTTATATTCACTGCTGTATCCCCAGTGCCTAGAACAAGGCCTGGCATATGGTAGGTGCTCAATGAATGGCAGTTGCTTACAGATCGAGAGGTTTCACATAAAGGTCTGGATTTCTGGTTCCTCTTGTACAGTGGGGGGTTCTGGGAACACCAGGCCATAGTGATGCCTGGGTGGTGCTGAGTGTTGGCTGCCCCTTTTAGGTGGGCATGTGCTGCCCGGGCCAGCACAGTACCATCCCCCTGGCCAGCTTCACCTACTGGGGCCACCAGCCTGGCCCCCTTAGGTGTCTGAGTTTGATACTCCTGGTGAGACATGCCCAGGCTGAGGCTCAGGGGTGGGTGGAAAACCTTCTAAGGCCCCCGGTGCAGACCCCTAGCCGCCTTCCTGCTCCACCCCTGCTGGCGGCCGGGGCCTCCTGGAATGCCCCGCACGGCCAGAGCCGAAACAGCACCCGCCTGCTCTTCGTAGCTATTAAAATGCCTGTATCAGTATCAAAGAGAAAATGCCAGGCGGCTACTCACTTCCCCCAGAGAATGCAGAGAGGCCTGGCCTTGGGTTTCGGGGCCACTCCCTCCCTGTGCTTGGTCCTGGGGCTCTTAAAGGGCTCAGGCTCTACCTGGGTCTCTGTAGTATGTGGGTGGACCAAGTCCTGGTGTGGAGGATGGAGTCCAGAGCAGGTGAGGTCTGTACTCCACACTGTGACCTTGACCCCGGGACCTCCCTTCTGGGACAATCTGTAAAATGGGGCTGTTGCCCCTCCCCTCCCCCCCCCGCCCCCCGCCAACTGCCTACATGTTGCTGTAGAAAGGGCCTTGGAAACCATTAAGCATTTACCAGGAGGAATTATACAATAAGTTAATGTTAATAATAGCTACACATATTGAGCAGCATATGTCAGGGACTGTGCTAAGTATTTTGGTGGAAAATGTCCTTTAATAAGTAATTTTTTAAAGGATTTTATTTGGGTTGTCTGAGTGGCTCTGACTCAGCTCAGTTCTTGATCTCAGGGTCACAAGTTCAAGCCCCATGTTATTGGGCTCCATGCTCCATGTGGAGACTACTTAAAAAAAAAAAAAGATTTTATTTATTTATTCATGAGGGACACAGAGAGAGGCAGAGACACAGACAGAGGAGAAGCAGGCTTCCTGTGGGGAGCCCGATATGGGACTCGATCCCGGGATCCAGGGTCACAGCCTAAGCCGAAGGCAGACACTCAACCACTGAGCACCCAGGTGCCCCTAATAATTAATTTTTGATATTAGCATATGACTCCTATTAGAACCCACCTGCCCTTGATGACTGTGGTAGGACTCTATCTTAGGTTAGCACAGATGGCATCAAACTCTGCTGAGGTGTCCACTACATGCAGAGCATGGCTGTGTCAATATGGGCTTGCACTGCATTAGGGAGTGCCAGGACCTTGGGGTCTAGTTCCCAGCCCTCCCCCTGAGTATTGAGCAAGAGATACAATCCCTCTGGACTTCGATTTTGTCATCTACAAAATGGGACTAATATTGGGTTATGCACTGGACTACACAGGATGGGATAAAATGAAATGAGATCAAAAAGCAAGAGAGAGTGTCCAGGTGTGAAGAACAGTGAGCAGCTGCTATGCTAGCTTGTTTTTCATGGTGGTGGCCAGGCGAAGGCCACTTCTCTCTCGAGCTGGT